AGTATCAGACAGGTGTAAAATAATTGAAGTGTATACAAGTTCATCACACTCTTCTTTTTGTACTTCTATTAAATTTGCAGGAAATTTGCCATCTATGGCCTTTGAAACTTTTTGTTGGACCAAAATACCCTTCATCTTTTGTTGCCAAATTGAAAAATCTCATTTCCCATTAAAAATTCCAAATTCAAAGTGTGAAAACATTTTTAATGAGAAAACAAAAAACAGAACAATCAAGTCACAAATAGGTCACACAAAGTAATCCTAAAGTCGTAATATACACCGTTTTAGATTCCCAAGATTTCGTAAGATTCACGATCTTAGATCAAGGGAATGTTCGAACAGGTCAAGTCCATGTGTTCTAATTGGATAATTAATGCAAACACGAAGGTATATAAACAAAAATTCCAAATTTTCATGCAACAAGTCTCACATAGTGACTATATGACAGATAAGCACAAAATCAACTACCAACTTGCAATCAAAGTTTAACACTTCAAAATAGAGCAAATAATTTCTAAACTTTCTAGCACAAGCAATGGTTTCCAAGCAATGACAATCATCAATCCTAAAATCACCCCACACGATGATCTGCTAATGCTAAAATTTAAACTGAGTCAAGCCAATATACCAGAACGGACCTATCTGAGTTCGTAAATTACGAGAGATGCGAATTTATCACTTAAAGGACCACCACTATTCATCCTAAAGTCTCTAGAAATTGTAGCAACCAAAAAATCACAATCGAGTCCCGAATGCCCGAAGAACAACGCAGTCCAGATTCTACTGTGTACCTTGAAACAGAAAAATTTCAACACGAGAAATGTCAGAAATAATATGAGGAACAAACTGTCTGAAGGGACCTCTTCGAAATTCAATCTCACGCACCCTCACACGCTGGTTCTTTCCTCTGTGCGTGGGCCTCACGCGCCACCACACGCGCCGTCGTCGACCGACACCTATTACCCTGTAGGGTTCGTCTCCTCCTATACGTCATGCCAGTGATCTCCGTTTCCCCAAACTCCTTCTGGATTGATCAAAAAATGCAAAAAATGGAGACTAATTTTGACAGTTTTTGGACAGCTTCTTCGATTTGATTTCTAGTGCAATTTCTGGACCTTTTTGGTATGTTTCACGAGCCAAAACCACCACCTTGAAGTTCTGATACCAATTGTTACGGAAGCTCTCTTGAAAGATCTTCAAATTGGTGATTTGGACTCAATCCAACACACCTTTCTCAACCAACAACTAGTCCAATCGGCTCCAAACTACAACCAATTGATTCACCTCAGTTGCTATTCAATTTTACCCATGTAGGACAAGAAATGATGATGATTTGTGGCCAAAAAGGCTAGGAGAAGACACCACAAAGGCATACTATGAAGGACCACCAATTGCACACGTTATACAAGCGTTCTGGACACTTCTGGAGGTCTTTTTTCTCACACAAAGGGGGACAGCCAGGATTCTCCTTTTCTTCTCCCAAAATCACACAATACATCATTAGAAAGTGGCTGGGTTATAGCCAAATATATACTCTAGGGTTAGGCTTTAAGTTGGGTCATTAAAGGGGTAAACGGGCCAAGATTCAAGCCATTCATAAGGAAATACAATTGGGCTAAGTGTAGCTCATGGACTTAGTTGTTGGACTTATTTCATTCATCGACTTATGCCTATGAAATAATATTAACCCATGTTAACATCATAGCCCGGAATTTATTGAGTATCAAAAACCCAACAGAAGCTATTATTGAATCTTCAATTAATTAGTTGACCTAAACCACAATTGACGCCCAACTACTAGAGACAAGCCAAGAATCGTGTGTAAATAATTATGAGGCACAATTCAAAAATCATTACTAAAGTTTCATTATTCATAAATTAGGTATTAATATAATAACTAAATATTAAATATCTCCACCTAATTATTTCAAACCCTAATAATTTTTCCCTATCTTTTCTCTCTATACTCTCTTCCTTATCTCTCTATATTCTCTCTACCGCAAAACACCACCGAAGGTTCCGTCGCACATGAACTGTCGTTGCCCATCGGAGAGTATCGTCGACGAAGACACTCTCAGGTGCGTCATCACTACGTGTGGCTTTGTACAGATGGTGGGTTGTTCATGAATTGTCGTGGTGGTTGTTCATCGTTGCTGCGCTCAGTTGTAATGGTGGGCTCGATGACTGGTAGTTTGTGCGATGGTGATGGTTTCGATTATGATGGGTTCGTGTGTCATCGCCACCAGCTGTAATGAAGAGAAAATCGAAGCGTCTGGTTTGTTGTGTGATGATCTGAACTTTTTGTTAGNCCACATATTAAACCTTGACCTTAAAATTTGATAATTTGTGACTGAAAAACAATTTATGACTAACAAATTTGAAAATTTATGATTGATAGATAAACTGTGACCTGTAATTTTTTTGATTTGTGATCTCGAAATAATCTGTGACCAATAATTATGCATATGTAATCATTAACTGTATAATTGTGACTTTATTATATTTAATTAATTAGCTAATACCTGAGTTTTGCATTTTGAAACTTGACACCTGGAAATTGAATTGTGTCAAAGTTAACACCTAACTTTTAAATTTTTGCCAATAATTATTATGTACGAGGCCCGACACATTTGGTTATTTAACCTATTTTTTTGTAGCACCTATTTATATTACTCAGTTGTCCCCTTTGTGAGATATTACAATACATACACACGGCTTCCTTTGCCCCTTTGAGAGAAAAAGCGACTGCCATTTCGTGACCTTAGTTCTTCGACCTCCGACTACCTTATTCAGTCTTTATGTGACCGGTGCTTCCTCTCCCAGTCTTGAGTTTGTCTCTGGCCTACTTCGTGACCTCCGACTGCCACCTATTCACATCCCTTTTTGCTCCAATTTCGCTTCCTTGTTTGGTTGTCTCATACCCTGTTTGCTCGACCTCGGTTTGGGTGATTCCTTCATTGTTGTGGCATGAGAGTCTTTGGAGCAGTCCAATGTTGGAGTTTCCTTATGGTTTGGATTTGATCTGAGCCCTTTACAATCCCTTTGGTGCCAATTCCATTATCAAAAGGAAAGTTGATTTCTTACTTTGATTAATAGTGTTCATTCTCTTATTATCAATTGATATTGCTTAACTTTGTGTTTTGATTATTGATTAAAGGCTAATTTATCTCTACAAACTAGTATCAGAGCTTTATTGTGTTATCAGTAATTGTGGTGAGGTGCAATTGTCTCTAGTGATTTCAAAATTGAAACCTATAATCTTGGTTGTGACTTGGAACGTGTTGCTATAATCTTTCATTGTTGATTTTGCAATAAGTTGATTTTGCAATAAGGACAGGGGCGGACCAAGGATCACGATCCAGTGGGGACGAGAAAAAATTACTTCAAAAAGAATTTCAAGTTAGAAATAACGATAATAATCAAAACGTAGTACTTTTTTACAATTTTTCCTTATGGCTTCTCATACTTTGAAAACACCTTATAATAGTCTTGTTATCGATTTCGTTAAATACCTCTTTTTCCACATACACAACTAAGCTATCATTCATCCATTGGTCTCCAATCTGATTACGCAGTCGATTCTTCACAATGTTTATAACAGAAAATACTCTTTCAACTGAAGCAGTAGCAACTGGAAGAGTTAATCCTAAAGTTACAAGCATGTAAACTAATAGATACACTTTATTTCTTTTGGTCTCAACCAACTTCAATGCAAGTTCACTAAGTCCTTTCAATTCTCTGAACTCCTTGTTAGAGTGCATATCAACAATATGGTTTCGAAGCTGATCATCAAGTGTCATAAACTGTCCCTTTGAAAAATCCTTAGGATAATACTTAGCAAGACGAATTAATTTATCCTTGTCAAAAGCAGAGAATGAATCACCGGGGCATAAACATGCTAAACAAAAAAGTAACTATGTATTTACCTCAGAAAAATGATCATTCAATTCTTGAAGTTGCATATCAATGATAGAATAAAATAAATCCACACGGAAGTGATGAAAATTTGTCATTTCTCCAGTACTACATCGTGAGCAACCTGGGTGTACAAACACACTATGCATATCAGGAACATCATTATTATGCTTTTGACAAAAAGAAACGACTTCATCCAAAAAAGAATCCTACTCATTGTCCCTCATTTCTTGGAGTCTTGTTTTCATATGTCACTAAACTCATGGCATTTACAATATCCTGATCTTTTATTTGTAATGCTATAGACAGTTCATTTGAAATTCCTAAGATAGTTCTCATGAGGTGTAAATTAATCACAAACTCAAATGACTGCATTGAGTCGAATAAATTATCCACATCACATCTTTGTTCACATGTTGATCCATCAATTGAAATCATTTCAATGACATCAATTATAGGTGAGAACATCAAAATCAAACTAACCAAAGTACGATAATGTGATCCCCTACGTGTATCACCAAAATGTGTAATAGTACTTTGTTGATTAAGACCTCACCCACTTGAAATCTCACCATTAATGAGTGCTTCAAAAATTATGGCTTCTTGTTTCTATCGGAGAATACCACAATGTTTAGAAGAAGCTCCAACAATATTCACCATGCTAGAAACCAAATTAAAGAGCGTTTGGACTTTCTTATGCTTCTTTGTTATAGCTACAAGAGCTAATTGAAGTTGATGAGCAAAACAATGAACATAAAAGGCACTTGGATTCTCTTTCAAAATAAGTATTTTGAGACCTTTGAACTCACCTTGCATATTACTCGCCCCATCATAACCTTGACCTCGCAATCTGGATATACTCAACCCATATCTTGAAAATAATTTATCTATAGCAGCTTTAAGTGATAGAGCTGTAGTACTGAAAACATGTTCAATCCTAATAAAACGTTCAACCACATGTCTCGTCTTATCAAAAATAATGTAAAACAGTAGCATTTGCTCCTTCACTGAGATAACTTGAGATTCATCAACTAAAATTGAAAAGAATGTATCATTAATATCTTTGATGATAATATCAATCGTTTCAACAGCTCTGGCACTTACAATATCCTTCTAAATTTTTGGTGATGTTAGTTTGTGATTTTTCGGAGCATTTTTCAAAGTGACAGCTTTAGTCCTTCCATTATGATCAGTTAGAAACTTCAACTATTCAAGAAAGTTACCTTGATTATTTGACTCTTCACACTCATTGTGACCATGAAAAGGTAGTCCTTGACGTAAAAGAAGTCGTATACAATCAATTGATGCATTCAAACGAATTTGATATACACGTCGTGCTCATTTTGACTGCTTGAATAAAACTATCTCAATATGTTGCTCTTGATTCATCAAGGCTTCACAATTTCTTCGGGCTTCATTGTGTGCACTATGGACATCTCCAACATGAACTCCAAGTCTATCCTTCTTTTTAAAATTATAGAACCCTTCTTTTACAAAAGCATCACCACCTCTTTGTTCCCTATTGTTTGGTTCAAAAAGACAACATTATAAGCAAAATGCAGCATTTTTACTTATACTATATTCTAACCAATCAGGATATTCATTGAACCAAGCAGGAATGAATCACCTTAATTTTTTACGTGGAAACACATAACTTCGAGGTTGACATGGACCTCTCTGCAAGTATGCTCTTCTTATTTGATCTCGAAGATTAACATTGAAATCCAATATTGGAGTTCTTAATCCGGGATCCGTGGAAAGTTGTGCAACATCAATATGTTCAATACTTGCTTTCTTTACCTCATCATTTTCTTGAAAATTAGTGTCATCAATACTTGCTTCCTTTGCTTCATCATTTTCTCCAACAGTAGCATCCTTACCACTGGCTTCCTTTGCCTTGACATTTTCTTTAATAGAAATTTCCTCAATGAGTTGTTTTTTTGCCTCAACATTTTCTTCAGTAGATATTTGAGATACCTTTTTAAAATATCTCAACATATCTTCCTATCCTACAAGCCAAACAAAGCTTGCATAAATATACCAACGGTGAAATGGAAAGTTAAGAGATGAACTCCAAATCTAAAATTGATGAACTAAAATGACCTTGATCTCAAAAATAAGTGAGTTTCTCGAGTAATATAAATGAAATACAAGTACGCAGATTGATACTTGGATATCAAATATAAGTAACTAAAACCCAAGAGACCTAAATCCTAATGTGAAATTTTTTTATAGGTTCCGGTAAAAATACATAAAAAGGGTAACAATCAACATTTGAGAATCCAAGTCCAACAATTGAACCACTACAATCCAAATTCAAGAGATTTTCAATTCTGCCCCTGATCCAAATTCCCAGACAGGAAACTCAGGAAGTAATTAAGTAAATCTAAGTTATCTAACAATTTACAATTCAAGACATTTTCAATTCATATTGCTGAAAAATCAATACATTTCATTCACTATCACTGATTCATGGCTTCATATATTTTTTTAATCCAACCATCACAAACATAAATAATAAGATTAAGACAAAGAAATTGATTACCAAATTTTGTTTCTTCAATCTATTCGCACCGCACCATCCGTCCTCCATCACACTCGCACACTCTCGCTACCTCGCACTGGTTCAAGTCCATAGGGTTTGGGAATTATGGACCTCATTTTCAATGTTAAAAACTTAAAATTGTTTGGCTTGGGTTAAAAATCATGGGCTTCTATTAATCTATTGTATGGGCCTTTTTGAATGTCAAAAAAATTAAGGGTCCAGTGGGGGCAATTAGGTCCGTCACTAAATAAGGACTTGAATCCTTAATTAACGTTTCCCATATCTATTTTTGTACGGACCACTGTTAGGTCCGCTATGGTAAATTGGATGGAACTCTTTAAATTTCTACAATAGTAGGCCATCATGTGGGTGTGGCCAATATGATTGAGTGTTGGATAACTATTGCCTATTGATAAAAGTTAAGATTACTTGCATTTTTGTGTTGTAATCATTTTTTACTATTGCGAATTCGATATTGTTGCTGAGTTAATTGTAGTTAGAACTGTTACCTAAACTTCACCAACTCAACAATTCTCATGGGACTGAGATCTCGAATGTTACAAAACCCTGGAAATTTAGATCGTCGTATATTTGTGACCTTTAAGACATATTTCGCATGGTTATCTTTTTGAAGGTTGTTTTACATGCTACATGTCTTATTTGTCTAGATGTTGACACATCACTTTGACTTGAATGTCTTTAATAGTAAGTGTGGGTTTTTCTATTCGGTAACAAAAATGAAAGGAATTTTAGTACAACAAAAAATATCTAAAGTTATTGATAATACTTTTACGACTATTATGACTGTGAATAAAAAAAAAGAGTTTGACAAACTTGCTTATATTTAATTATCTTGCATTTATCTGATTGCATTTTGTAGTTAGTAAACATGATTTTGTTAAAAAAGTTTTGAAAAAGCTTGAAAAAATTTTACTTGACTCAATCCATGTGCAACAAAAAATTTTTGCTTGAAAGTTTCTTCAATTTAAAAGTTGATCACTCAAAAGATTTAGATGACAATCTTGATGTTTTCAATAACCTGGTTCAAAATATTACAGATTGTGGTGAAAAATTGTACGGTGAGTACGAAGATATTATTCTTTTGAATGCTATTTTTGATAGCTATAAGGAAATCAAGAATGTAATCAAATATGGGAAAAATATGTAATCAGATTTTACATCCAATATCTTCTTCGATTCCTTAAAGAGGAAGGAGATAGAGATGAAAGGTGAGAAAGACAACAGAAAAATAGAAAAGATTCACCAAATGATCGGTAGATCTCATTTTAGGGGTAGAAAAGAGCAAAATGATAATGACTAGAAAAAGACGAGAGGTATATCAAAGCCATAGGGGAAGGCAAAGAGAAGGATATATTATGGTTGTGGGAAATTAGGACATTTCATAAATAAGTGTCGTAAAGAGAAAAACAATTTGAGATATCAGAGGATTGGTAAACCCAGTAAGACAAACGTTGCCTTGAGAGATGAATCTATGGAGGTTTACATGCTCTTAAATATTGAACCAACCGAAATTGATCTGTCTATGAACTCGCGTATGCATAGTGGATTCTTAACTCTAGTGCTTCTTTTCATGTTACATCAAATAAATTGTTGTTTGATCATTTGCATGAGTTTGATAATGAATATGTAGCTGCATGTGATAGAGTTGCATATAAGATCACTAGTATAGATAATGTGACAGCTAAATTTGATAGTGGCTTTATGTATATATTAAAAGAACTTAGGTACATTCCATATATGAATAGGAATCTATTTTTTGTGGAGGAGTTAAAGCGTACAAGTTTCACTAGTGTACTCGGTGATTAGGTGTTAAAAATGTTCAAATGAGCACTTAGATAATTTAAGATTGCCAAGAGGAATGTCATATACATCAAGAATGCTAAGGTCATGGGTGGTTTAAATTCCATATCACTTACATTGATTACATGTAGTAGTGGTATCATAGGTTAGCTCATAGAAGTAGCTTATCGATAAGGGTGTATTTGGTAAGGATCAAGTGCCGAGCATGCCACTTTGCTATCATCATGTGCTTGATAAACATCATAGGATGTCATTTGCATCTAGCACACATAATACATCATGAGTATAAAAATATATTCATACTATTTTGTGTGGGGTTCGGGAAGCAATTCGACTTTTGATGGTAATAAATATTTCTTTCTATTATTATTGTTTTCTCGAAATGTGTATGTGTTTATTTACTAAAAGATAAATTTGAAACTTTTGTAAATTTTAAAAATTAAAAATTTGGGTGGAGAACTAGATAGGAAAAAAGATCAAATATTTGCGTGTTGACAATGGTATTGAGTTTTACAATACTGAATTCGATAATTTGTGTAATGAATCTAGCATCACTAGATAAAGGACTCTGACTTACACTTTCCAGTAAAATGAGGTTGCCGAAAGGACGAATCATACTTTACATGATAAAATTAGACGTATGACATTGAGTTCTGGTGTGCCTAAATCGTTTTGGGGTTAAGTTGTTAAGAATGCATGTTATTTGACTAACATGACTCCATTTGTTGTGTTAAATGCTGATACTCCATACGAGATATGATACGATAAGTGAGCTGATTATTCTATGTTTGGAACCTTTGGCTTTGCTCATTTCTCTCATCTAAGTGAGGAAAAACTAGAACTTAAAGCTAAGAAGTGTGTTTTCTCATATTACCCCAAGAGTTAAGAGATATAGGTTATGGGATATGAGCCAAAAGGGTGTGAGAATAATCATAAGTAGTGATATCATCTTTAATGAGTCTGAGATACCTTGAATAGAGAGTGAAGAACAACAAAAAAACTGTTAGGGAAGAGTCCCTAGTTGAGGCGAAGCGAGTGAGTGTCCACATCCTCAATATCTCAAGCGAGCTAGAGTGTAATATACAAAATCAACAGAATAAAGAAATAAAAAGTGATGAGGAAAATGTTGAGAACAATCCTATCAATCAAGACCCTCTAGTTGACTACCAATTAGCTAAGGATAGAGAGAAAAGACCAAGTAGAGAACCCCCAAAGCTTGTTTGATTACATTATAGCCTACACTAGTTTTCAAGAACTAATTGATAAGGAGCCACACACATATGAGGAAGTTTTGAGGAGTGAAAAAAGTGAGAAATAGCTAGGAGTCATAAGAGAAGAGATGAGATCTCTTGCTAAGACTTAATCTTCTTAGACCTAAGGATAAATCTTAGGATGCAAGTGTGTTTATAAGATTAAGGAGAAAATTGTTGAGCATAAGCCTGTGAGATATAAGTCTAAATTGGTATGGGATAAATTATAATGAGATCTTTTTGCCTATTGTTAAGTGTACCACTATTATGGTCATAGTTGCTTTTGTTGCTTATTATAATTGGGAACTTGAATAATTTGATATCAAAACTGCTTTTTTTGCATGGCAAGTTTGACGAAAAGATTTTTATGAATCAGCCTAAAGGTTTTGAAATTAAAGCTAAACATGATCATGTGTGTTTTTTAAGGAATTCCCTTTATCGGTTAAAATAGTCTCCACGTCAATGGTATAAAAAGTTTTGATTGCTATGTGTTGTCATTGACTTCAAGATAAATGAGTTTGACCATTGTTTGTATTATTTGGACCACGGCACTAATAAATAATGTGTATATATTATCTATGTGGACAACATGTTACTAATTGGTCCTAACACGAAAGTGGTAAACATGATTAAA